AAAAGTAATAAATTTAAAGTACGTATAATTATATTTTTTTTCAATCAGTTATATAAGTCTATTACTTTATTTTTAATAATACCCACGTCTAGTAAAACAGGTCTTTTTTCCATTGAATGGAGATTTGTATTCATAACTATTAATAATTGTTTCGTACAAAATATAGCTTAACACATTTTTAAAACGATTAATCATTTGCAAATAAGTTGTATTACAGAAAAATGTACATATTTATGCAACGTTCAACAAAGTGGTACTCATTTATTATTTATTAATATGAGGTGTATGTAACATATTCTTCCTTGCTTTATAGATTATTGACGAGCAATCAATTAGTGAATGAACTTATCTTTAATTTTTTTCATTCACTCATAAACAATATTTATAAAATGTCTTGTAACATTTTATAATTTCTCTTTACCATATATTTCTATAATTACCAAATTAGGTTCATTTTTACATATACAGCAATATTAACCTAATAAAATTATTATACCATATTGTATATACAACATTATCTTCTTTACTTGTATTAGACGGAATTCAATTATTTTTAAATATATACTAGTTTTCATATGTTATTATTTCATGTAATATATGCTTATGACATTATCTAATAAAATAATTTTTATGATAAAGTTTTCCATATAAATCTACTCACAAAATTAGCATTTTAGTGAATCGTTCAAATATTATTAGTTAAATTAGTTACACTATGCACTTAATACTAAATATTATTAGTACAAATTTTTAAAGTATACTAATGTGATACAATAAAAATATATATCAAAAAAGTAAAACTAAACAACAAAAAAAATTCAAACAATTTTAATTATTAATAATACGTTGCGGAAAGCTCTTCATAACAAGATATATGCTATAAATAATTAATTTTTATTAAGTTAGATTGTAATATTAAAAAGTATTGCATTGCACAACCTTCTAAAAAAAAATATATTTTAATAATTCTAAGATGTTTGCAACATTTATCAATGTTTTTTTTCTTAATTTTTTAATTTCATAAAACTTATGGTTACATCGGAATACATAATAATGAAATTCCTCATATATCTGTCGAAGCAGTGATAACAAAATATAACTAATCCATAATTCCAACACTTTTAATTAAATAATGAACTCCTATATTGCATCACATTTATGTTCCAAAATATGAAATATAAACAATTAGGCATATTAACCTATTTTAAATTATACAAATGTTAATGCAATTTCTTTGTATTTAATTCCTTTCAACTTTAAACCTTTTACACATTTCTCATAAAAGGTCTAATTTCTCAATATTCAGTGGTTTTAATTTTTTTATTCTTTTCATTTCAGTATTTTTCTTTTTATTAAAAGTGGTTGCTTGAATTATAATGATATTATATTTTCATATTATATGTCTGAATAATTTCACGTTTCATATTTAATTAGCGATAAGCTTTTGGTACAGGATTATAAAAAATTTTTAATCACCTTAATTTAGAATCCATATATATATCTTCTGAATCATAAGTTGATAAATCTTCTTCACTATTACCGTAAAAGTTGTTTTCTATTTTACTTTCTCGTTTACTAGTGTATGATTTTTATCCTCTTCGAGTAGGCTATATAAAAATATAAAACATGTCATAATAAATTTATATTATAATTACACATTCAAAAGAAATCGATCTTATATAAATATAAACATAACATTTTTATATTGTAAGAATGAATTTTTAATTACTCTGTAGTAATAGAAAATGAACAGAATTGCTCCAAGCACTGAAACTGTTAGGATCATATTACTAAACATGTTAAAGTCTGAATTTTCATACATTCCTTCTATAGCATTGGAAGTATCTGTAATGGCTAATAACACACCATCTTTTGCAATTTTTGAAGTTCGACCTTCATTTACTTCATATCCATCGGTTACGCTTAATTGTAAAATAAAAAAATGTCACCTTTTCAGTGATAGCTACATCTTCTCTTGCTTTTCCTCCATTATTACTTATTAACTCAAGTTGGATTTTTAATTTATTTAATAAATCTCCAGGTTTGTACATATTTTCACACTTAAAATACGGATCACATTTTAATCCAAAAAAGTCTTCTTCATCACAACACCTTTCAAAATTCTCCTTATATATACTGTCAATATAATTAACATAATGTACATATTTTTCGCACGCAATTTTATCAGAATTATCACATTTTATATATTCATAATTTTCAAAATAATCGTGTAATTCTTTTTCTTCTTTCCAATCTTTCGGATATGCATAAGTGTTTCCACTGCATGCTGGTTCATTTATTAAACTTGTACTATCTGATGAAACGAAATCAAAAAGTTTCTCAGCAACTGGGTTATTTTTAGCTATATTCTTTCTATGATAATATTTTTTACTTATCTTGTCTTGTAACCAATGTCTAAAGTAATAGCAACCACGTTTCTTTACCTCTTTGTCCAGTTCATCCTTTAATGATTTAAAAAAAATTGCTATCTTATTATAAAGCTTTATATCCTCTTCGTTAGTTGACCCTAAATGCTTTATACACTATTCGTGGTTATTACCACTCATATCCATATTATCAAAGTCATTATATTTTTTATATGCAGGTAATTCTGGCAAATTTTCTTCCTGTAAATTGAGTAAAATATATAAATGTTATTTTTTAATAAATATATATTTTAACTAAATAAAATTACTTTAATTATTCTTAAAATAATGTAAAATATTCAAATAATAAGCTACATTAATAAAATGAAAATATAAATATACCCAATTATTCTCTTCCGAAAGCACCATTTTGATTTAGAATGTATTAGCTAAATTCAATATTTATCCTCATAATTACATATATTACTTTACCTGGAAAATTAAAACTCTTGATCTATTGATATATTTTACGTTTCTCAATATAACAATTTCAAAATTTAACTGGAAAAAACGATAAATAAGACAATTAAGCAAAAATGATTAATCCAAAACAATGATTTTCAAATTAATAAAAAAATTTAATAAAGCAATTTAAGGAAAATGAAATTTCATTTTAGTATATCGATTTATATAACATTATTCATAAAAAACCTACATTTATAATCAAATGTGTATAAAAGAAATGATATATTAAATATTGCTTTAATATTCATTCGTTTTGTGTAATCTGGTAAAACACATTTTATATCATTCGGGGCTAAGAAACTCATTTATTACATTTGGTAAAAATGACACTAGGATTTATTATAGAAAAAAAAAATCCCATTAATATAATAGGGTAAATAATCACATATACATTATTAAAACGCAAATAAGACAATATACACTGAAACAATGAGGAATAAATAGAAACAGTATAAGTAATAAGCTTACTTATTAACAGTACACATTATAATATTAATATATTAAAAAAAAATATATATATTCACAATAATTTCATTAATAATAATAAAAAGGACAGTATTAACATCAAAGAAAAAATAATTTTATTGTATTTTTACTCATTTACCTCATGTTAGCACAGAGATGTGCATACCACATAACTTTCTACATAATGTAACATCGATTATCAATAATATAGAATTTTTAATAATGAAAATAATTAATTTCTATAGATTATATACGACGTTCCTTTTATATTAATTCCCTTTTTCAATATCAATATATGTTCCATTTTTTACATTCATTATCATTGTAAAAAATCATAGGGTTTTTAGTTTCTCTGTTAATTAGCATATCATGTATTGAGAATAATGTATTTTAACCAAAATTATGAATAGAAAATTTTTAGATGATATTTATTACAACTGCAACATTTCAATGATTAAGTAGATAAATATATATAAAGTGAATTATGCTTATAAATTATTTAAATTTCTTTATATATAAAAATAGTCAACTTATTTAAGGATTTTATAATTTTACTACATCTTGTTGGGAGTTATAAAGCTGATTCATGTAATATAACACATTTATGGTTATCTTATTAATAAAAATATATTTTATTTAAAAAATAATAATCTTTTAGATATCATTTATTAACATGACACTCAAGTTATGTATGCAAAAAATATTATGTTCATTTTACAAGAAAACGTAATAATAATATATCGTTTTAAGTGTCTTGTCTTTATAAAAATTTTGGTGTATATTTCATAAGTTCTTTTTCTCAGTAAGATGTGATCATAATGAATATATAATAAAAATGTAATGCTGTTTACATTACTAATATGTATTTAAATAAAATGACATGTAATTTCATTTCATTTGTGTTCTTTACATATAAAACTTTCTCTATTTTACATGCTATTTTAAAGGACGCATTTTAAATTGGTAAAATATTTGTGCATTCTTTGTATGTTAATAACGTAATGTAAATATTTTTATTTATCCTCTGATTAAATCAGATGAATGTATTGAAAAATAAAAAAAAACATATATGTAACAAAGAAGATCCTATTGAATAAAATAGACCTTTAAATTATATATTAAATTTCACAATTTAAAAAATTAATAAATCAAGTATAATATGTATATACTCTTCGAACATAACATTTCCTGATTTTGTAAGGTAGTAATAAATAATAATACATTCAGCGTTTATGCAAAAATCTTAACTACTATAATACATGTCTACATATTAACATGGTAATGTATACATTTTCTTGGAAATAATTATTATATTATGACAACTAAATACATTCTGAATATGAAAAGTTGTCATAACACTATTAGTGAATATATTTATGTAAGGTATTATTATATCTAAATAACACCATTTTCAATCTTAAAAATACTTCTACAATTTCTTATATAATAATAAAACTTTAAAAATTATTTTTGGATAATATTACTGCACCCCCTCAGTGTTATGAATCTAACAGGATAATATA